GTTGATTAATTATCCTTTTTCCTTGACCCTCCGTTCGGTTAATTAATTATCCTTTTTCTTTCGGTAACTAATTTATCTGAATCATTTCCTTCTGTGATTTATCCATTTTGTGTAATCTTTCTTTTCAGTCTGTAAATTATCCGAGTATTATTCTTTTCTCTTAATAAAATGATTATTTCTTTTTTTATCATATGACTTTTCCTTGTGACTTTTTACTGTATATTGTTGATCATTTCCTTTTGTATTGCTGCGCCTTGAATAATGAAATTGTTGACTCTACACCGTGATATGAGTAAAGAAAAGCTGAAACCATAATGAAATGTCCCATGTGTTTTGAACACAAAATATCTTCATCTTTCATGATCCAGACTCTTCGCTGTTCATCATTTACGTAAAAGTGGCATTCATTATGTGTCACTTGTACTAATTCTCTTTTTCCTTGCTCGAGCTGAAATTCTATTATTTAAACATCTTTTTTAACCATTTAACTCTATATGCTACTACATCAGACCGCTCATACCTATCATAATAAACATCTTTTTTCTTTTCATCAGAACTATATCCCCACAAATGCATGTAATTTTGACATATTTTTTCAGTAATAGTGTCTTGTTCAATGTATTTTCCTTTAATATATGCTTTTAGAAATGCAGGGGATCGTGATTCGGGTTTTTGGGTACATAACCACGCATGACAATCTTCAAAGACATCTTCATCATTAAGAAAACCTCTCTATTTTGTATGTTTTCCTTAGTAATCAACAGTAAATTCTCCTGTTCATATATAATAGTCTTCCCAATTTTGAATGCATCTTGACATATAGTCACCCTTATTCCATACAGTTTTAACAATTTGTACACTAATATCTATCTTACCTTTTCCACTTAACAATAGCTCTATATATTTACTTATACTTATCATACACAAATAATTATATGTAAACATATTTAATTTAGATGATTTCGTGAATAAGCATTGTCGATTAACCTCTTCAAGACGTGTTTAAAGGCTTGTCATAATGTCAGAAGATAATGCTAAGGTTTGCACATATACTGGCATGATAGATGCTAATTGTGATTGTGTTACAGTATTGATAAATGGTTCTGAACTTTGTGCTGTAGATATTTGCATTGTTATGTCATCAGAGACTCAATTTGTTGTTATTCTATTTTCTAATATCATATTATTTTCTTTGTTTTTGATTTTATCCTTTTTTTTTTCCTTCTCCAAATTGTTTTTCTCAAAGTTCCAATATACTGTCGTATTTTATTAATCATATTAAGTCCTTCTTCCTCCTATTTCTCTTGTATATCAATTACTGCTTCTTGTATATACAGTGAATTCTTGATATAACGAATTCTAGGATCTGGATATCAACTTCGTTATAAGCTTATAACGAATTTTTTAAAGAATTTAATTGGCTAGTTCATTATAGTAAAGGTAATTTTAATATATTTGATTAAAAATTCACTATATCAAGGGTTCGCTATATCAAGGTTTGACTGTAGGTAGTTATATCTATGAGCCTTTCTTTCTGAGATACGAAATAACCTTGCTTTCTAGGTAAATTACATGCTTCTCGCTTCCTTTTTTTATAATGTGATATTGCAATTAAAAGCGTTATTTAGTAAGTATTAATGTAGTTTTATATGCTAGTTTTATTTTATTTAATAAATGCTTATTAATGTCTATTTTAGGCAAAACACAGTTAAATGCTATATTGATACCTCTACGAAAAATGTTTGAATAATTAGACGCGTAATTGATAAACAAAATGTAAGTTAAATAATGAGATAAGTAAGTATGTTTATTGTTTATTTACATAAAATTACAAATATGGACTTTACAATCTAATTGGATATTAATCGTATTATTACTTTCAGTCATTAATTTTAGGCAATTGGATTATATTGATTGTTGAATGATCATTTATAAGGCTTTTTTATATGTATAAATGATAATTCAATGATCAATGTAACCCCAAAAAAATTTGAACAAATATACACAGTCTTTTAAGACGAATTTGTTAAGTCTAACTGTTACAAAATCAAAAATATATTATATAATAATATTTTTGAGATTTTTGGTTTCGTGCGAATTTACTGCGTAAGAAATATTAATTCTAACCAATCAAATATGCAGAATTTTCATGTGCTTTAATTTTAACCAATCAAATGTAATAAAATGTTCACGTGATTGTTTCAATTTCGAAAAAATCATATAGATTATAAATGCTTATAAATATTTTATATGCTAAGTTTTTTAAAAAACTAAACTGATAACTTTATAAATTATAAGTTGGATTATAAAGTTATCAGTTTGGTTTTTTGAAAATTCTTTTATGTAATATGCAGAAAGATTTTAAAAATGTCTGATTTTTCGATCATGTGATTATCGGATATAACCTACTGACACCATATGCAAATATGATTTTTAGGCTGAAATATATTCACATTTAGAATTAACTCACTTTTGATTTTACTGGCAGTTTCCTACCTTTCTATTGCAAAGGTCCTATATTATTACTTATACTTAGTAATACCTGTCTAAACACTTTTTTGAAAAATTGTAATTTTGTCAAAAGATTTCGTCTTTTTAATATTTTTATATAAATAAATATAAAATTATTATATTTTTTAATGTATTTTTATTCAAAGAATTTAGATCAAGTTAAATATAATTTTGGCAATTAAGTAAAATAATTTTGTCATTAATAAAAAACTAGTTTCATCATTTTGATTTCGTCAATTTTATCATATTAAGAAAGGTAATTTCATTAGGTATTATTACTTATACTATATAATTCATTAGTTTTGGTAAGATCAAAATATGGTAGTAGAACAAAGTGTTTAATGGGCCAGAAATATAGAGCAAGAATTATAAAATCTCTGAATACAAGTATAGCATGATAATTAAATGTTAATACAAGTATTAAATAATAAAAGAAGAGCATAACAGTATTCAAATGTTGAGAAAAATGATCTTAGAAGAATTTCACAAAAATATTTTAATGATATTGGAAGATGGTAAAGAAGACATACTGCTTATATATAGCAGGCTCAGAACTTAAGGAATATTATAGATAAGCTTAGGATGAGGCTAATCTGGTAGAATTCAATCGAATCTAGGTATTTAACTGATATCAAAAATGGAAAGCTCAAGAAATAAATCCATAACAAATTATTTTGAATTTACAAATCAATCCTCTAGAAAATATGGTTATTTTACCAAATGTTTTAATATAATAATTCTACTTTTAGCTCAAATACTACAATATGTTAGTCAAGAGCTATCAGATGACTATTATAATAAGGTTATACAGGCAATTAATTATGATCATTTATTAGGAGTGACAGTTTTTACTGATGCCATAAAAACTAATGTATTAGCAAAAAAGATGGCAAAAAAGTTCACTTCTCCTAATCCATTTAAAGATACTGTAGGAAATATGGTTAATACTTCAGTATTATTTTTAGCATAGTTTCAAGATACATATCATGCAATAAAACTAGATTCAGCATAGAGATTGAAACTGGCTTTGAGTTACTTGGATTATTTGATTAAATCTGTTTAACCTTGTTCCAGATTTAACAACCCAGATATTTGATTGTCTTAATAAAAAAAGCAGATTTCTGATGCTCAATGATTTTATAAAATACAAATTAGTTAAATTAAATTAAATTGTTTATATAAATATTAAATAAGTTTTATGAATTTTTATATTAAAATAAATTTACAAGGAGTTGCAACCAAGTTGCAACTTCTTAATTATGGTGCTCATCTTTAAATGATAGGCTTTCACTTTCAGACAATAATAATATGAAGCCTTTGCAATAGAAAGGAGGGAATCTGCTGGGATAAATCAATTTTACTTTTATGTATCAAATATGATTTTTAGGTTGAAATATGTTCAAATTTAATATTAACTAATTTTTTTTTTTGGTAATTTTTCCTCTTTCTATTGCAAAGGTCTCATATAATTATTACTCTAATAATAAAACTCACCACAAATTTTTTTTGATGAAAGCAATAATATGTCACAATAAAGGTTAATTTAAATAAACTTATAACCTAAAATAACAATTTATAAAATGATGCAGATATTCAAGTGATGAATTAGGAGATAATTCTAATTTCTAATTCAGCATAAGCTTCTATGAAAGTACTTATGTCTGATAAATTCCTTTCTATTTATACTCTAATAATATATAAAAAACAGATTAAACCATGTGTAAATACTTTATCATTTACAGATACTTTACCTATTTTTTATAGTCATTTACCTAAAAATTTGGAATTACAGATTAAAATTGAAAATTCAGCAGATATATATACCTTTTTTATCCAACTTAATGATAAGTTAGTAGTTGTGTAAGTATTTTCTCATTCAGTGAAGAAACTCTATTACATTCATTCATATAAAAAGAATCACAAGCTGAATATAAATTTATAATTTAACTTGTAAAGAATTTGGATTATTTAGATATAATAATAGATTATAGAATCACATATCTATGATAAACTTGGTAAAAGGTTAGGTAAAAAGTAGCTTATGTTAGAAAAGTTCTTTTATAAAATCACAAATTAGAAATACATATGTTACAAAAAAAGTTGTTAGAAGATTATATCAAAAAAGTGATTAGCAAAATTATTGGCATTACTCTAACTGTGAAAAGGCTGGTCATACAAAAATTAATTGTCTTAAAGTCAAGCGGATTAAGAAGGTTAATTATGTATATCAAGTTAAGGAAGATTCTAAAGAGTCTGAAGAAGAATATATATTAGAAGATTAATGATGTTATTCAAAACCTATTTTAACTTGTAACTTAAAATTGAGAAGCTATTTTGAAACCTTTAAAATGATTTTTTTTAAATCTGAAACTTGATGAAACTTAATTGAGTTTAGAAAAACCTATTAAATTTAAGTAAAAATATTTATTATAAATAAATAGTTTTATCTCAAATATCTTAAAACTCAAATTTTTTAAAAATAGTTTAAAAATGTATTTTTATAAAGATGGTGATGATGAAGAGAAGAAAAAGGAAATAAAAAAGATCTCTTTAGGATCAGATGAGAATGATGAATCATGATATAAAAAAAAATAATACAAAGTAGAGTATCTATAAAAAAGATATATAAGAAGGGATTCTCTACTTCTAAGTCTGAAAAAAAGACTGTTAGCAAAGCTAACTATGAAACTGGTGATTGAATATTTATATCATCTTTAAAATCTATACTATCATTAACAAATTCATATTATTCTAAAGAGAAACTTTATTGTCATCTTAATATAATATATTTCAAATTAAAAGATCAGATTCAGAATCATTATGCAAAAGGATATTCTGTTAAAAAGTGAGAATTATTATGGGAATATAATATAAGATGTATTTTAACCATTAGCTATAGTTATAAATATTAAGTAAAATTCTCTTTTGCAAATTCTGTCAGATTTGAATATAAACTAGATGAGTTTATAAAAGATGTAAAGCCTATTATTTTAGTTTTTATACTTTAAACTATACTATTAAGGCATATCAAAAAAAAAAACTAATCCTTCTAGGATCATCCAAATAATTCATTGGTCTAAGCTTTTAGAGATAAATTTTCTTTAGATAAAAGATGTAAATGATATTACAATTATACATGAAGTTGAAATGAAAACCCAAAAGTCAAAATGTTTCGACTTTAAAAGTCAAAAGTTGAAAGAAAAGTTGAAATAATCAAAATGACATTATATCTATAAATGAAGTCGAGATAGATCATTTCAGATATCTGAAATAGTCGAAATGGTCGAAATCATTTTGACTATTTGAGGTGAAAGTTGAAATGGTCGAAATAATGTCATATCACATGATTTTTAATATATAGAAAAAATAAAATAATAAAAAATGTACGATCTCAGTCAATATCGCTCCGATTTATATAAAACAACTACCATTTGATTCCCTCAACTCTTTCCTGAAATTTTCAGACCATTTTTTCAAAAATATTAAAAACTATAAAAAATAATTTTTTATTATACAAACTAAATACAAATAATATTAAAACACTTTTTATAACTTTTAAAACGATGACCTCTAATATTTTAGAATTTATTCTGATGTTTTCGCTCAAGATATGAAAACTTTCTTACAACTTATCATGAACGTTATTCTACATCTTGCTAAAAAAGTTGTGGCAATAGCAAAATTTTTAGGTTTTCAGACTCCCGAAATTTTTTGGCTCGTTGATAAACTTTTCCAGAAAAAATGGAACTCCCAAAAAACTTTATTGAACAAATAACATGTATTAGTACATTAACAATACATGAAACTGGAACAAATGACTTTGCTATAGAAGTCACTAAAGACATCATTAACAACATCCTAAACAATATTTTAGAAAATGATGATATTATTTCCATTGCCGATACTACTTCGCCTGAAATGAATATACTTGAAGAAGATGATATAGACTTCTCTCAAATTACATACAAAGGACTTTCTCACCTTTCCTCTGTCTCAAAAAATGATACTATCAACTTTCCGACTAATAATTTGATTATTTCTAATTTATATACGTGTTAATTATGGAAATAATTGTGTAAATACAATAAGAATGCGTCAAATAATAATTTATCATGTGATAATAAACATCTGCCCCTAATTTACCAAACACCAATACAGATGCGTCTATGCATAATATCAATAATATCACGTATCAAAATGTTTTAGATAAGAATGATTTACATCATACAATCAATCACGCTTCTTATACTTCTCTTAATAATAATAATAGTCACGTGATTGTGACGGTCCTTACTAATGTTCTTCCTAGTGATAATAGATTTGATCAATTAAGTTTGATCAACACCTGCTTTTCAAATAAGCCTGGATTCATCAACATTAATTGGAAATTTTACAATAGCAATGCCAACATTTTTATTGAATTCAATAATAGAAAACTCCTCCTTTCTGCGATCGATGCAGTTCTTTTAACACATCCCAATATCCCATTTAACATTTTGAATCATGAAACCTCTTTCCCTTCCAACCCAAGTGCGCCTATATATAGATTAAAAATAGTCCCTATTATAATTTCTCATCAATATATAAAGTGAGTCTTATCCTATTATGGACCTATAAAAACATTGAAAGATAAATTCAGAAATCATTATAATTCTTCTTATAATGTAATTATCACCTTTAAAAGACTTACCAAACCCCATCAATTAAACCTAGCTTGGACTCATAACATTAACGGTCTAGTCATGAGATGCGCACACATTGATACTTTCATTGAAGAACTCAAAGTAAGAAATAATTTTGTCACTAGTTTTAAAGGATTCCCAAATAAAACTACACCTGGAGAAGTATTCAGATCAATGAGATCTCATGAAGCCCATTCTTGTTACTTTCATAATAACATTGCTTACTTTGTATTCTTGAATGAAACTGGTATGCATCGAGCTTGCTCAGCTAGAATTCTACACAATGGATACAAATTGGATGGTCGACCTAAAATCCTTAGTAGATCATACAACTCTACTCAACAAAATACCCCTGGTTACTCTCCAATTTTAAACAAGAGAAATAACAGACATAACTCATTTTCTCACAAATCAGGAGTTAATATGAATGTTGAATAATACACTTTATCTTCATATTCTGCTCTCAATGGTTCTTTTAATACTATCTCAAAAGGAAAAACAAGAATTTGTTTCATCCACCTCCTTCTAACACTAATGTTGATCTGTTGACTGCTATACTCAATAAATTATAAGAATTAGATTCAATCAAAGCCCACCTAGCCAAACTCAATGCTCAATTCTCAAATTTCTCCAATCATGATAAGGCAATTGCCAAACGCTTATAACAGTAATACCAGGAGAATCACAGATAAAAGATATTCATACTGATAATCTGAATATCTATAATAATAATGTAGATGTAGACTTCTTCCTTAAAAATCAAATTTTAACATTTCACACACAAAGAATCTAACTGACTAAGAAATTGGATATGAACATCTTACATATATATGATAGTAATGCCAACACAATAATAGATGGAGATGTCATCAAATTCTCAACATACAACGTTCTCAGTTTAGCTGAAAAGACTGATCCAGTTAAATCTTCTCAAATTTTTGAACATTGCCGTCTCAACAAATTGGATTTTATCAGCTTAACTGAAACTCATCATACCAGCTTCATATTTTACAAACATAAAAATGATGATAACTATACTTCTTATTGGAGCAAGCCTGACCCATATGAACCCTACGCCAGAGTTGGTCTTTTAATATCGAATAAATGGGCTAAATATATTGTTCGCTCCTTCACTTCTGCGTCCAGATATACTTATGTTGACTTTTTCATTAAAGGACATCTCAAACTGCATGTTTTCAGTATCTATATATACACAAATTGTCATGACAAAACATCAGCTCATAATAGACGCATACTTCAAAAAGATTCTCCAGTTAGTTGATGACAGTCTTAAGAATCACTTTTACATTATCATCATGGAAGACTTCAATGTTGATATAGATTCTTATCATCAAAAACTCAATGATAATGAACTGCTGGAATAGCGTTTCTCACTAATTGAAGGTTTTTTTCACTGCAATCTTATAAATCTTTAACAAATTAGCAATGATTACATCATACCCACCTTTTTTCCATTATTAGCTTAAACGGTTCATCATTAAGTTAACTAAGATTATTTGCTAACAGAGAGTTTAAGTGCGTCTACACTATGAAAGAAATGAACACAGATTAATTATGTTGAAGGGTCAGGTCGTCTTTATTGATATAGATTTAAAGAAGTATAAATTGTATATTGAGCAAAGATATAATTGTTAAGAGATAAATGTTATTGATTTATTTAGATAATTATAGCGACTCTGCTATTTATTGAGGCAGAAATACAAGATATTTATATAAAATACATCAATATGAAATAGATATTTAATATAGTAAAGAAAAATAAGAAATATAATATAAATAAGAAATTAAAGATATATAAGAAATTATAGATCGCTAAGATCGCTAAAAAATTAGAGAAATGATAGAAATTATAAAAATTAGAGAAAGTTGAGATCTATGATTGATGGGATCATCATTCGCTTATTATAATTAGCGCAGTACTAATGCATTATAACTAGACTATCACTAACACTGTTTAACAATATTAATAATAATTATACACATTCTGGTTTTCCTCGTCAATTAGATGGCATTTTTGTCTTACCAGACTTCATGGTTGACTTCTTATATTGTGGCATCTCAAAACCACTTTTATACAAATCTGACCATAGAATGGTTACTGCATTCTTCGCAGATTTTGAATCTAAACAAGGGCCAATGCTAGATGACTTAATAGTAAAAGAAGAAAGTTCGTATTCTCATCTATGAACAACTACAAATGAAATACTTTTTCAGAAAAATCAGATAAATTTTTTCAAAAAAGACAGTTGGATCAATTTGATCAGCTAACCTCTTCTTTGGCAAACATGAATCTTCTATGGAAACAACTCAGAAATGCCACTATGACTATCACCACTAAAAACATTCCTGTCTGTTAGATTTTTGCAGATCAAAAAAAACCCAAACTAAAAGAATTTGTTACCTACTATGGTGGTCAAATGAAGAAATTAAACAAGATCATTCTAAAATTTTGTGCTTCAAGGATTAAAGCAAAAACCTGACCAATAGGGCAAGAATGGATTGCTGATTACTCCTTGGTCTACTCAATAGTGAAGGATACTAATCTTCCTATTATTAATCTTCCCGATATCCTTGACTCATCGAATATCTAATAAACTAAACGAATTCTTCTGCAACTATATTATAACCTTAAAGCTTTAGCTAGAATTGAAGAAGAATCTTTCATACGATTAAAAATTAAATATTGAATTAACCAATGATGTCTACAATATGAACTGTTCCAGAAAAAATGTTTTGATCAGCTCTCAGTTGTTCAAAAAAGACCGTCATTTTAGACCATCTCCTCATCAATGATGTCGATAATCACCAACTCCTCATTAATGACTCAAAGCTCATTAAGAAATAAGTTAATTTTCATTTTCAAAATTTTCTATTCCTTCTTCTCCGGTTGTACCTATCACCGGTCATTGGACTAAGCAATTTACTTCCATTGAAGATATTGATGAAGTTTAATACAGTAATATCATGCAGCCTCTGACCTTTGAAGAATGGATGGCAGTTGTTACACATCTTCTTAATAATAAAGCTTCAGAACCTACGGGTATGCATAATGAAATGATTAAACACCTGGGCCTAGTGATTCAATCTCTCTTTTGGAAACTAATCACAATGTGTTTTACTCTGAATGATATTCCTTCAGAATAGAAGTTTTCTCATATTTATCTGATTCTCAAGCCCATGAGTTGGGATAATGATATTACTAAAACTAGACCTATCACACTATTAGAATCACCTAGAAAAGCAATGGTCAAAATTATCACAAATCATTTATCTTGTATTATAACTAAACACAACATACTCAAAGGCAATAATTTCGCTGGATTACCTGGCGGTTCTATTGAAGACCCCATCAAGATAATAAATATGATCATCGAAGACTCAGTTGAACACAAAAAAGAAATCTAGATTCTCTTACAGGATCTCTTCAAGGCTTAAGATAGAGTTAATTTCAATATTCTCAAATTAGTTCTCAGAAGAATTAAAATACCCGAAAATTGCATTACTTTAATTTTAAATCTTTTCACTAATTGTCATAATGCCATTTTTACTAAAGATGGCCTATCAGATTTTTATGACGTAAGAATCGACATCGATCAAGTAGAGGTGATTTCACCCCTTCTGTGATGTATATACTTTGACCCTCTACTATGAGAAATTGATCGCTAAAAAAAAGGATACAATTTAAATCATACTTGGATCTCAGATTTGAATACTATGACCTCATCTTCTCTTTCTATTGATATTTCATCTCTTAGATATATGGATAATGCAAACTAGATTGCTAGATCCAAAGAAGATCTTGAATATATCTTAGGAATAGCTGACAAATTTTATTCTTTCATAAGAGCTGCTATCAACAAGAACAAATCCAGACTACTTACTAATACTCTTTTTTCTTTTGATCCTATTTAGTTAAAATTTAGATTGTCCCATATCCCTATTATACCAGAATTAGGATCAGTTCATTTCCTTGGTGTATGGATTAATATATTCAATACATCATCCTTTGTTAAAATCCAAACCAAAGATACCATCTTCTACTTTATTTCTATCCTCAAATCAAAACCACTCACCGACAAACAACTGATTTACATTTTTAATACTGTTCTTATATCCATTTTGGAATACTGTTTACAAATGACACAACTATCCTTTAATAAGTGCAATGTTCTCTCTGCCCCTATTCGAAGGATAGTAAAAACTAATTCCAAATTTGCTTACTCAGCTTCAGATTGTTTCTTTAAATGAAACAACTTTTATAATTTATATGATCTATGGAATCAGCAAATGCAAGCATTTTCTACAGCTCTTTTGTATCAATTCAACTCTAAAGCTATCTATAATGATATTTCTAGGATTCGATTATTTAGATTACAATTAAACAATGGATTACACGTTTCACTTTTGGTTAAATGGAACTTACCTTTTAATAACAAATCCTCTAATAATCTCATCAGTGCAACACTTAGTCTTTTCAAACAAAATGGACTAGAAATTTTGTTTACTATTCACAAAAACCTCAGAAATGAAATTAAAGGTAGTACAATCTCATTAGATTCCATCTTACCTCAAACTACTTTGGTTAAGCATCAATACATCATCAACAAATTTTCTCTTTTATTTCTTGATCAATTTCTGGATAATGAAGGATCTTCTTTGATTAATTGGAAGGAACTAATAAATAGATCATGTTACAAAAACAATTTCTTTAAAAAAAATAATGTTCCCATTTTCTATAAATTAGTCAGTAGTTTAGTTTTAGAATCTGATTCTTCTAGATTAGTTTTACAAAATTATAGATTAGCTGGTACCAATAGTTTTTTATAAATTCACGTAATTTAGACATTAATATAGATGATAAAAAATATGAATATATCTCTGCTCTCAATACCCAGTTTAGTTGACCAATCATTAGAAGAATTGCCAGGAAAGTACGAACATATAACAACCTAGTGATACAATATTTTATTCAATCTGATACACATGATAATCTCTCGTCTCTTTATAATGAAAGAACTATCACAAAGTGCAAAGGATGTAAATTAAACAATGATGAGCTTTTAAACAGTTATCATAATCCTTCATATAGTTGGAGGAAATTCTAGCTCCCTCTTCCTCTAACAACTTATATGCAAGGCTATTATTCTGACCTTGTCATTCCGATCATTAAAGTTTTAAAAGCCCATCTGATTAAAGGAAATATTTTTCTGAAAACTTCTGTCAAGAACACCATGCAGTTTCTTCTATATCTGCTCAAAAGAAAAAATACCATCCGCTCTTCTCATCATATTACAGAGATTTCTAGCTTTCCTCATGTTGATACACCTCTACTTAAGAATGTTGAGATTATCAAACAGATTATTATTGATCCCTTTCAGTAAGATATTCTCATCCAAATGGTTACTAACCTACAACATCTTTCCTCGCTGACATTTTACACTGATGGATTACTCTTTAATGTCTCCACTGATCTTTGTTCAATAGGGATAGGTTGGATTTGTCCTGACCTTTATGAATTTACACTTTGTTCCTTTAATGCTTCCATCATCAACAACACTTCATCATCAAGAGCTGAATTATTCGCTATCATTTCAGCTATCATCACTTGTCCTTTAGCCTTTTCTCCTCAGATCATCACTGATAGTCAAGCTATAATACAAGGTTTTGATCAATATATTACAAACAATGTTTTGACTACTGCATTACATTATACAACAATTATCCTTGACTGTCATTCTTATCAAAATTAAAGGACATTCTGGGGACTTCTTTAATGATAAAGCTGATATTCTTATAAAAATGGTTATTCTCAGCCTATTTTTCAGCTTAATTATTCTGTCATAGAGGACCTGTAATTAATGATGACATTCAACAATATTTCAATTGACTTCTCTTCAAGGAAATTCTGGAAAGATCTCACTTCTGCTGAGCACTTCTCCTCTTTCATTGAATTAAAGAGAAATGCCTCTTTACTATGACTCACAAGATCTTCTTCAGTATCTTGGTCTCTTTCTCTCAAAAACTATAAATTACAAGATGATACACCAACTATGACAACGTTTATCCAAAGAAATAAGAAGGCCTTCAAAACTAAAATTCACACTAAAGAACTTCCTACTTTAAATAAACTCATTGTTCAATGATCAAATCTTTACAATAGTTGGAATTGTATCACCTGCTATAATGCAGCAGAAGATCTTGAACATTTATGGACCTGTTCTGCTAACTAAGCCACCATTACTGATCTTCAAATCTCGTTAAGAAATTTTTTAGATCAAACTATTATTAGTAAATTAGGAAAGAATCCTGTTTGTCTAGCCCTGTTTCATTTCTTAAAATCTCGGCTTTACAACCTTTTTAATCTACAGTCTCATTCAGATTCTTTTTATCTTTTGACAAAAGATTAATCCCTTCTGAACTTTTTCACTTATTACATTTTTTATTTGTTTCAGTTAATACCTCTCTCATCATTGGCTTAAGTACCAACCATCTTATCCAACTTTTTCATGACATGATTTGGTTTTCCCGATGTAATAAACTGATTGATAAGGAAAGATCTGTTGGGATCTCTTCAAGGCTTAAGAAGTTGAAAAAAAAAAAGAAAAAAAAACCAGCTACAGCTGCTCCTAATACTTACACACATAAAACCAGGCCTCTTTCTCAGATATTGAATACGAAATCAGTGATTTGGAAGTCTTGGTTAACTTTGGCCATTAAGTTTAGTAACTCTTGGTTAGATTTTGTTAATAGGTACTGATAACTTCATTTGAATTTCTTTATGATAATTCGATCATCAAATATGGATTTTTTGGTTCTGTTGGAAGGGAATTCTAGTGATTAGTCGATCTAAATGGGTTTGAGCTAATTTTTTAGTAATAGAATCATGTGAGATAGTCATAGTTTTGTCTTATTATTTTTTACTTTATTTTTATTTTATTCGTATTGTAATAGCATATAAAAAACTTAATAAACTTATGACAGTACTACATCGTAAAAAAAAAAAAAAACATTTAATTCCTCGTGGCTAGGCAAATCCAATGAGTTAACATTCATTGATTTTGGATCAGCCAATCGTGAAATATTTGTGATTGAGTTTCAAAATCCAGACTTATTTATTTAAAGTAGAATTTAATGATTTATAATTTCGGCCGACAATACAATTGTGATTATCTTGAGATTGAATGATCTAAAATTAATGAATGTTAGCTCATTGGATTTATTAGTCATGAGGAATTGAATAGTAGTTATTTCATACGAATTGGAATGATATTGACTGAGATTGTATATCTTTTGTTTTTTTGTTTTTTCTATATATAAAAAATCATGTGATATAATGTCATTTTGACCAATTCAATTTTGACCTTCAAAGTCAAAATGATTTTGACTATTTTGACCATTTTGGATATCCGAAATGATTTATTTCAACTTCATGTATAGTTGCAACTATCTCCTGTAAGATGAGAAAAGTAACTATATCCTATGCAATGATTGATAGTGTATCAGATTCGTCAATAATTTCAGAAAATGTTGCAAAGCATTTGGGACTTAAAATATATAAAAAGAAGGTTTATAGGTTTAATGTAGTTACTAGTAAATTACAATTTCTTAGAATTATTGATGATATTCTATTAACTATTGATAATGGAATAAACAGGTTCACTATCTTGAATGAATTTTCAGTCGTTTCTACAGAAAAAGATGCTAATAGAAAAAAATTATTCTTATTTATTTTCAGAATACAATGGAAATATTAAGCAGAATGAAAAACCTTAGTAAAAGGAGAATTTAGAGTAACTTGAAATAAGAAGACTATTACTATTTCTCTATTTTTTCACATATTTCAACGTAATATTTTTACAGTAGAAAGGAATACAAAGTCTTTAAAAAAACTAACTAATCAGATATGTAAATACTGTGAAAAAAATTCACTTATTTCTATTATTTTTACAATATAAAAAAATTAAATATTGAATTAATGGTGAGTCAACTAATTCTACATTAGTTTATAATCAAGTCAAAAAGGTAAAGTTTACCAATTCTACATTAGTTTATAATTGAGTCAAAAAAGTAGAGTCTAACATCAAATTAGATTAATCAAACTATAAACATATGAGCAGAATATATATTTTTTTCAAATGTTGGATTATCTTTAGTATCATCATGCAACCTTCTTCATAAATCTTATGCATCTTTTTCATAAAAGCTATTTAGTTCTATAGTATCATCTATACAGCTAGGATTAATTACTTGTACTTTTTCATTATAAGCAATAATTAACTGATCCTTATTATAAAATAATATTATTTAATGCTTTAATAGTCTTGTTTATAGATGCAAAACATTTTTTCAAATTATTCTTATCCTTCTTGATTTGAAAACAGCTAAGGATAATTTACCAAATTTCCTATCTTTTTTAACCATAGCTTTTTCTAATATAGTAATATAGGATTTATATTATCTTTTTCAAGTTATCAGAGTGAGATTTATACTAATCTTTTAGCTAATATTTAAAAGAATATATCATTTATTTCATATTTATCATGCATTTATTTTATTCTTATTCTAGATGATCATTAAGAATATTATATTAATTTTTTAGATGTTTACGCTTCTTACTAACCTAAGTCTTAACAGTATTTTTAATATTATTTTCCTTCTACTTTAGTAAAATCTCATGTTTCTCTAACTACTTCTCAAATCCATCTAGTCAGAATAATGTACAGTAGTGGCAGAAAAAAATGGCAGTCGCGATCATGTGATTAAAATGATGATTTACATCACATCTGATTGGATAATACAAACCAATTTTTTGTTTGGTTGTTTACT